GGGGGAGGAGGGAAGGAAAAGTAGGAGGAGAGGGGAGGGGAGGGGAAGGGAGAGGAGGGAAGGGGAAGAGAGGGAGGCCATTCTGAAATCATAGCATTAGGATGAGCAATTTTACCTATTATAGGCACTACCCAACTCAAGAACTAAGTTGCTCCTAGATGCGGAAAGCAAGACAAGCCTTGGCAAAATGCATCCTTATTTGTGTGATAATCAGAATTCTAAATTGGAAATTATGAAGTCCCACTAAACACCAGTATCCATCACAAATAAATAAAAACAGAATAATACACAGATGCTTTTGAAATACATAAGTCTATATAACCAGATACTTAACATAAAATTTAAGTTCAGTCTTAAATGCTCCTTTTGGGGATATTTTTCTGCACGGAATGGACTTTCTAAGGTTTCTTAAAATATGTGTCCAATAAAGTTTAGACTAAATATGTTTTTTCCTTTTCCTGATAAATCTTCCGGTGGTGAGTAATACAGCCTTCTTCATTATTCCTTGGACCTCTGAATGTCAGTTTAGAAACGAAGTCATCTACTTATTTATTTTTTTCAACATTGAAAACATTTGTGTTTCTTTTTTTCTTTCTTCCATCACCGTCATCTATTTTTAAAAGTTTCAGTGCCAATTCTGTGTGCATGGATGTAACCGAAAGACTTTGCTTTCAGAGTAAACGATAGAGGAGCTGTGCTGACATTAGTTTGGTGTCAACTTGAGTCTCCTTGGGAGCAGAAACTGTCTCACTGTTTGTTCTCTGTGCGCCCAGACTCAGGGCGGAGCCTTTTTTGCGGGAGGCATTCAGCGTACGCCTGCCAGCGGGAGGGGTGAAAGGCTCATGGACGCTATAGGGATTTCGGCAGCCGGCTCCAGAATGTGCCATTTTGGCGGGTGGATTGTTTCCAGCTGAAGACGATCAGGCCCAGCAGACTCAGGAAGAGCCTTTTACCTTTCCCTTAACTGCCCCAAAGAATTTAGATAGGGGGGCCTGTAACCAGAGAAAACTTATATCGAAAA